CAAATTAAGCCAGTTAAAGAAAGTTTACTGTACTCGTGAATAAATGAATCCACTCTTTTCAGCAGTACGGGATTTACACTGCATCTCGTATTTGTAACGGACTGGCCTGCCTGTGGCCGACAAATGTATGTACGCATGCGCCGACGGAGTGTTGGTGTTAATGATCACCTTTCAGTGCAATAGCCATATTAGACACGCCCTGAACGCCGTGTAGTGTCAGGTACTGACGCAGTCCTGAAGTAAAACGTACCGTGTGACAGGTGGATCTTTACTTGTTAGCACCCGGCAATTATGAATTTAGCGGCCCTTCCGGGGAACTAGCCAGCTCTGCTCAATTAATTTCCGTCCGATAGCCTCCGGGCGAGTAAGAGGTTTGACTCCCGATGTGCGTATTCCCTTAAGGCACAAAACTTCCTTTGAATGAGGCGTCCAACAAAAATGGCGTGGGTTCGGCAACAGGAGGCATTTGTCCTCGGATCGAATTTGGGTTCCCAGGATCATTTTCAAGGCGAGGTAAGGGGTACTATAAACGTTCACAGCACTGTTACCGGGAACTGAACCATGACAGCCGAGCAGGCCGTTGTGAAGATTGTTCTGGCGATGAAAACAACCTAACGAAAATACATGAGCTGACACGAAGATGTGTTCCGTCATCTGACAGAACACACAAACAAACGTACTGTGATGACTAACACTCGTGTTACTAGTTATCGTTACAGTCTGTTCACACCTACGTAATCAAATGTTGTTTTTGATAAATAATTTCTGAGAAGAAAAACTCCCCAATCAAAAGGAACTCCCTAATATCTCTTGTATGTTACGTATTATGCAAGCAAAAGAGTAAAACAAACTCATTTCTCGTCCTTTGTAATCTGAAAGAGCATTCATTTTGGATTTGAGGATGTCACAGCGGTGACTATGAAGAGTAGTTTCCTCTGGGATGTGGCACCGTGTAGTCAGGTAGCTCACCAACGTTTCGGGGGAACATACTGAAGCAATCAGCCACCTGGGTCAGCCGAGAAATCTTGGCCAGCTGATTCAGTATGCTGACTGATTTTTGCTAGTTTCTTTCTTAGAATATATTCGACGCTCAAGATGAAGGCGATATGTTCATGCATCGGTGAAATTCTACGCGATACACGAAGTCGCATCCAAGAAGCCAGTGCTCCTCGTTCATTACCTTGTTCACAAAAGTTAGAAGGGTATCAGTTCATGTTGTGCAGGAAATTGTAACATTTGAGTATTCACAAAAGCGTCTGGGTAAGATAAAACGCGTTACAATTCCACTGCGTTTTGGTGTGCAGACCTATCATTAAGCGGCGACTCTGTAAACAGAGGCCGTTGCTAGGTAGCGCCCGCAAAAATAGAAGAACGGTGTTTTACGTGGTCCGCGCCGCGAACGTTTCTAGGCAGTGGCTAGGTAAACACGTTCCCGCGGCAAAGAATACGCACGCAACAAGAGAGTTACTGTTGGAAAGTATGTTCTCTATGTGGTCCGTGCCGAGATGTAAGTGGGACTGTTTGGGCAACCAGTTAGTTGCAAGAGTGCTCAGCTGAATGTCCGGTTGTGAAGAGAAGACTTTATGAGTGATATTTGGAGTGTGTAATTCTGAGACAGTTTAGTGAATTCTGCACGGGAGGAGAGGAACTGAGCGCGTGGAGCTGAAGAATCTCCACTGTTAGAAGCCGTTCCCAGGGAACGGCTGAAGACATACCAGGCTGGAGAAAGGCTTAGCTGGTGCTGCGGTGATTTGTGGACATTAGCGATGACGCTGTAATTGCTTGTAGTTCTGTGTCGTGTGTATAAGTGGTCAGTGAATCTAATCCAAAATAGGCCTGTGTAGTGTCTTGACATTTGTAGCGTGGAGAACATGTCTTGCAATTGTGCAGGCGGTTCTATCGATAAATATGAGCGGCAATTCCTGAAGAGGTAAGATGCAATAGGTAGAATCTGTTAACGAAATAGCTATTAGTCATGTGTACAATCAAGATGTGGGTTCCTAATGTCTGTTCCGAGTCTTACTGCTAATCCAACCATCTTCTTTCAGGTCTCCCAATGTTTCCTCTTCCCTGAGGTCTGCATTAGGCACGCCATGAGCCTCTCCGTATTCTCTACCGTATCAACTGTCCCAAGCTGCCGTAAGGCTCCAATTGTTACGTTGGCGCCCATTGGTTACGTGCATCCAGCGACTGGCCTGGGGAATCCCACCTGCTGATCCTTGATCTCTTCTTCTTCTCCTTACAATTCACGATCCACATTTCAGGCCGAAGCATCAGGGAAAGAGTTTCTGTTATTTTCTGAAGTCATGATTAAAACTCATTTCACAGATTTCTGGGAGCAAGCGCTAGCGTAGTTGGTTGATGCGCTATATTACAAGCCGGAAGGTGGCGGGTTCGATTTCCGATGGAGTCATTGGATTTTTCAGTTGACCTAATCCTTCCAGCCGCAATATGGCCCTTGGGTAGACTCAACTTCTAACAGACAAGAGTACCACGACTCTCAATAGGGGTAAAAGGCTGCCGGCGCGTAAGGCTAACCTGACCGCCATCTGTGAGCTGATTATCTAGAAAATGTGGGAGCCCCGACGTCTCACAGCCCTAGGGGCCTCCATGGCTTGTTACAGGGCTAGCTTGATTATACAGTCTTCTCCATCCTCACATTACCTTGACATATTTCTACCAGCCTCTTCCATATTTACAGAGGTTCTGTTTATCATTGTCATTCTGAAAATTCAGGTCACCACAGCAACGAGAGTTTCTTTAGTTTCATGGGGTGGGCGAGACTGCGGCAACTGACTGTCATATTCTACTTGTCCCGGATGATAGATGTTGATGCATGTGGAATAGTCGGTGGAATGAGAATTGGTAGAGGAAACCGAAGTACTCGTACAAAACCTGCCCCAGTGCCACTGTATCCACCATAAACGCCACATGACCTGACCTGGGATTGAACCCAGGCCGACGCGGTGGGAAGCCTGCCACTAACAGCCTGAGCTATGGCACGATCTAGTAAGAAAGTAAGTCATGATGAAGCGAGCAGTCTCTTGTTTCAGTGTATTGTGTGTATTCTGTGAATACTGGCAATATTTTGATATGTATATGTGAAATGTCGTATATTATCTAAAGCAGACAGTTTATGATTGACTATTTGTGCGCGTTAATAGTGGGAGAATGCGCTAAACGTCGGCTTCTTCGCATGATTATGTAACATGTAGGACTGGAAAGGGATTCGAAAGGAAACAGGCAAAGTTAACAGTATGAAGGCTTATGCAGCACGCGATGAGAATTTGCGTTGAACTTTTAACAGTTGTTGAACATTTATTTTTTTTTTTTTCTCTTAGTATATACAAGAAGACGAAAAAGAATAAAAAGGAGCAGAATTGAAGAAAAGAGATGACAACAGGTAGAATTATTTGTATTTTATTTCGTCTCCGTAAACGTAATTTTCATGAACCCTCTTTTCATTCTTCAAATAATAAAAACGCATCGCAGCGCCAATCCCTAACACGGCCGTGCCGGAAATCTGAAGCTTATTATAAAGGGGAATGAAACGTGAAGTTGTTCCTGTGCTTCACTAATTAAGCACTACGCCATGAAGGCGTATGGGGGAATGGGAGTATAGATCCACGTTTTCTTTACCTCCGCACTAGTTGGAAGTGAGTGGTCAGCTTCACTCTCCGGCCGCTTTACACCCGGGGAAAGAACCCCCGGTACCCATTGGATAGGAGGTTGGGTGGACCCCAGAGACGGTCTGGACAATGTGGATAAGTGAAAATTCTTAACACTCCCTGGACTTGAAGTCCGACCCCTCGGTCGTCCAGCCTGTAGCCAGTCGCTATACCGACTGCGCTATTCCAGCTCCTCATTATAAATGTGGCAATTAAAAGTGAATGGAACATTCAGGCTCCAAGCCCACCTGTAATACCCTCGTCACAAGAGTACAGATTAATTATGATAAGAACAGTGCATGAGGTTACTTCCTGCAGAAAGAAATATCAAGTGAGACGCCTTAAAATGTGTGGCAAGTGTGTGTACCCGTGTAATTGTAACTTTATTCAGTAATTAATAAGGACTGGCCCCCAGGGCCGCTTTCCCCTGGTGATGACTCATTAGCATTGTGTGGTTACAGCAAGGTCACCTGCTGGTAGGAACTCACAGGCCTGGCCGAGGGCTTCTCCGCAGATGTTATCTTCATAGGAAATTACACGTCTTTAGTCATCAACTGTCACAACGACGGAAAGTACAGATCTTCTGGGCTGCAAACGACGCGTAGTTCTGAGGAAACCCGACGTTACGGAGGAACATATTATTTCCATATCCATGGTCGAAAGGTAAGCCAAGCAACCAATCAAGAACCAAGTACGTGCTACCTGCGTGTTTTTTTAATATCTACCATTACCAGATAGGAGAGAGAGAGTATGTCTGCTGGCAGACAGTCAGTTGAGGGTTGCTGTAGCTGAAGCTGGGGACAGTTCGGGAATCCAGGGGAAAGGGAACGTCCCCCGTTGAAGCCGCTACCAAGCAACGGCTAGTGATGACTGAGAAGACTTTATATGTGTTGTAGTTACGAGCTGTGGTGTTCAATAAATCCGATTACCAATCCAAACCCCGTTTATAGTCAATCACATGACAATACTGTGGTCCTTGATGTCTGAGCCAGTCTCCGAAACGTCGGGATTATTCCGTGTCAGTGTGGCTGGCGGAGCAAGAAAACTTAGTTTTCAAGGAAATGACAACCGGGGTCTTGTACCGTAAATACCATAAAGAGCCATTTGCTTACAATTGAGAGGAGCTGTTCAGATTGTGCTGTTGCACGATACATAGCGTGTGCATCAGGGCAGTTGCTGTCTCCACATGCCTGGCTAGTACAGTCTCAGGGAGCAGGGCTTGCGGGACGAATTCCTGGTGACACGAAACTCAACCATCCCCCAGAAATAAGGAAATCACATTATGAAATACAACATTCAATGCAGATTAGGAAATTGCTACTCACAGAAAAGTTAACAGCGCACGTTCTTGTACTGTAAAGGCTGTCCAGGAAGTCTTGTCTTCACTTCACATTCGCCGATACAGAAATGTGACGACCAAGATTTGTAACCTGACCCCCTGAAACAAGACAAAGAAAGAGAATTACACCGACAGCCCGGTTCCCTACGTCAGTTTCGTGCATGGAAGTGATTCAGGTGCTGAGCAGTGCTCATAAGCCTGGGTGTTCAGGAAATAATTCTATTAGCATTAGGTGCTGAGTTTTGTGAAAAATTGTAGACAATGACAGAGAAATTTTTGTTAACTTCAAATTCATTTAATTTGAAAGGCAGGGGCAACGGGGTGCGTTCTGATGAACAGATTGGAAGGATTGAATAAGGATATCGATCTTGGCACTTGGCTGAGGACAGAAGGAAACCTGTGTACAGAGAGCCGGTCGCAGGAACTTCCAGATGCGTGCTGAATTCTTGCATTTCCCTTGGCGTTGATATTTCGCCTTCCACCGAAATACTGAATTTTCGTTGTGAAAGAAGTGATACATTAAGCTTGATTAAGCTGGTCGAAAATTCCAATTTTGACAAGTTATATAGCCAGGCAGAGTGTCATGTGGTATCAAAGGCTTTTCCGATGTCCAAGAACATCGCAGCCGTTGACATTTTATTGTTGAAATTAAGGGTCACGTGGTCCGTTAGCCTCATATATTGCAGAGTCGTGCTGTGACGTGCACGGAAACCAAACTGGCATGCGTTAGGTAGGCATCTTTCTTCAGCGTGCTTTTGGAATACTTTCAGAATGACTTTCTCGAATAGTATGCCTGTTGTGGACAGGAGGCTAATCAGACTTAAATTCTGAGGGAATTTTGGGTCCTTACCGGCTTTCGGTAAGGTTATGACTTTTGCTTCCTTTCAAGGACTTCGAAAATGGGACAGCCTAAGGCAATGATTGAATAAATTGGTCAAATATACCAAAGGTCGCTTTGGAAGGTGCCTGAGGCATTCATTTCGAATGCCATCAATTCCGCAGGTCTTTTTCAATTTCAAAGAATTTATTAATTTATATGTCACATGGTCTTATCCTTTGAGGGGGGGGGGTTGTCTACGTTTTCCAGCAGAGCTTGAACTCTAGCCTTCACCGGCCGTTCATAGTTTTCATCAAACAGATCATGCGGTGTGAATTGAATTTCTGAAAAAGTCAGCAACAATTTTCAGTTGTTTTTGCAGCTGAATCAGGTTAGTGGTAGACGTTAGAATTACTGGAGGCGGCCCCCCTGATTTTCCAGGAACTGCCTCCTCATTTGAAGTAGCCTCGGTACCGGAAGCATCGGTGTCCATGTCCGCTGTCCTGAGGGGGGGCGAAAACGTTTCGGGCGACGACTTCCTTGTGGGAGGGGGGGGGATGTTTAAGGCGGGCGACGTTTTGGTCTGCGCTGTCACTTTCTTTGAAGTTCCGTCGGTTTCGTTTTGGCGCGCTGCTTCCGCCTCCGTTCTTCTAGGAACCTACCCTCCTGAGGTTTCTGTTGTTCTGTTGTTTTTGGTAGGCTAGTTTTGCCTGCTAGGGTGCTCGCCTTGGGCACGGCGTTTAACTCGTGTTACGTTGCTGTATAAGTGCCGTACAGGGCACTAAAAATGACTTTCCATGGAGACCTTTGCAGTAGCTCGCTCCGTTTTCTTCCAACCCCAGAGTCAGGGTTACTTTACGACTGGAGGTTTACCGACAATCATTTCGTCTTGGCGTCAGGCCCCTTGAGAGCCACGACCAGAGATTTTTTTCCCAACTGAGCTTTGTGGTAATAGTCCTTATGTAACATCCTCTTTGACGAGAAGATGGGTTTGTCTTTTATGAATACGCTTGGCCCTTCGTCAAGCGTATATTTCGCACATATAGCATGTTTTGAAAATTCTTCGTTTCCCACAACTCTCAGCTCTCGTTATAAAGATGCCGCACGGACCGCATAGAAAACTTCATCATAGTTGTGTAACCTAGCAACTAGCGCGTATCTTACATCAATGGATTCCCTATTTTTGTCTCGTTCTTAAGGGGGAGAGGTGTTTACCGGCCGTCGCATAGAATCGGCAGTTTTACTGTTGACTGCATTCGTTGCCGCGAGGATGTTTACATTCCTCTACTGTTAGAGAAACGGCCCATTTGTCACATTACGGTCATGAGTCCCGTGGGGCTGAGACCCGAGAATGATTGCGCAGGCGACGGATAGCAGGAATTGTAAACGAAGACCCATCCTCTCGTTAGAGAGGATGCTACTTAAGGATTAGGGCCGCAAGGATTCAGTTGAAAAAATAATATTGGTGGTGAGTCTCAAGGGGTTGGCGCCAAGAGGAACTGACTGGCGGTAAACCGGCAGTCGTAAAGTAACTCTGGCTCTGAACTTAAGGACTTGAACGCGGAACGCTGCCAAGAGTTGTTTATTGCTGCGTAGCAACCAGCGCGCTTCGGCTCGGCTCGGCTCACTTCGGGTCTACTCAGCACGGCACTGAGAAACACCACTTTCCTTACTGTTGCGTAACCTCGTTTCCACTGTTGCGTAACTTGGCAACCGACTGTTTATCAAGGGTCTGTCTTCGTGGTAACTCGTTCCACCTCCCGTTGCCCAGCAACGGTTACACATGTCACAGTATTATAGTAGTTATGACTTGTCGGTGATCAATAAATCTATTCACCAATCCAAACCCCGTCCGTAGTCACACATAACTGCGTGACAGTATTATTCTTGACATCTTTCGACAATTTGGAGCAATATACGTTTCGTCATAGGCAGCGTCTTAAAATAAAGGCAAAGAAATTAGTATAGAACTTCATAAGAGGAGACTTTCCACTTTCTTCCCGCCTTGCAAGTTTAGCAAATAGAATGCAATACATGACTCGACTTTCGACACACGCTGTATTGTGTTGTGGCGGGAAGAAAGAGAAGGTTTGCGTGAGAAAATCCAATCAAATTATATTATTGATGTGCCTCTGTATCTGCTGGCGGTAGAGAGGAACCTATACAACTTTCGCTAGCGGAAGTTAACGTGATGCATTATGGGAGGGCAAAATACATCACAGTCCAACAACTAACATGGAAATTTACAGAAGAATGCCACGTCCCTTTGAGACTACCTGGAGCAGGTACAAACCGTGCATTATGTTCTTGCATATTGTCAAGTGTGTGGGTGACTATAGACGGGGTTTCGATTGGTGACTCGATTTACTGACCACTTATACACACCACTCGGAACTACAAGTAACTACAGCGCCATCGCTAATCTCCACAATTCACAAATCATCACAGCACCCGCTAAGCCCTTTCCAGCCTGCTGTGTCTTCACCAGCCGTTCCATGGCAACGGCTTCTAACGGTGTAGATTCTTCAACTTCACGCGCTTGGGTCCTATTTTCAGCCTCCCGTTCAGAAATAACTAACAACTTATTTTTCCCCTTGCTTATAACATTTCGGCACGTATCACGTAGAAACGCCCCGATTCCAACAGTAACGCTATTGTTGCGTGCGTATTCGTTGCTGCGGGAATGTGCTAATCGAGCCGTTGTCCGTAAACGGTCGTTTATGGAGTCACTGTTTGGCAACGGGTGTGTACGCCAGAATATTTAATGACGCTTATTCAACTGTATAGGGTACACAGCGTCGGAATGCAGGAAAAGTGAATAATAAATTGGACGAAATGAGACGTCGACCTTGGTACTGTGAGTGTGATGTAAAGATCTTCGAATTTTCTCTCCCGCATTGCCTTTGTAACTGCCGCGGATGTGAGAGCGCTTGTAACGAGGAACTGGTGCAGGAAAGGGTCATAGAGAAATCAAATTAAGGCAGAATATGTGATCGAAATTAGTTTTGTAAAAGACATGTCATCACACGAGCTGCACCGAGATGGAGCTATTTGTATAGTACACTGTACACTGTACACGCGCAACACGCCATGTTCTCACACGGGCTGCAAAGTGTATTGATGTTGACGGTGGAATTTTCGAAATGTATTATACTAGGTAAACTGCACCAACTTTGTCACTTGAACAATAATTACCGGCATTAGAAACAGTACGTAATGTCTCTTTCTTATGAACAATTTTGGAAATGTACAGTGAAATAACTCTACATCGGAAACCGTTCGCAATAGGACACATGTACGTACACACTTTTTGCTTAGAGTGACCGATACTATGACCTCCCAGAATAGTGACCTTTCCTCCTGGGACACTATCTGTATGTGTGTATGTGCGTGCGTGTGTGCGCTCTCAGCATGCCGCTAAGAGCGTCAAAGATCACTACGACATAACATTTCGTTATGCTTAATTCAGCACGTTTCCATGAAGACATGGTGGAATGGAGGCACACATCCATGCATTCCTAACGTCGGGACTAGATCGATGTGAGTTGTAAGCGTCACATCCAAGCCCCTTTTTTTTTGCGAAAAAAGCGGCCCCGGAACCCCATGTATAGGTGGCTGGGTGTGCCCCAGCGCCGCGTACGGAAACTGTGGAAAAGAGGGAAATCTCTTGTTCCTACAGGGAACTGAACTCCCGATTCCGCGGGTGTTGGGCCCATAGGTTAGTCTCTATACCGACTGAGCTATCATGGCGCCCCTAGGAGCGGTACAACAAGTACAGAAATTGGTACGAGCAGGAAGACACTGAACTACGGTCGGGTAAATTGCTGCCGGTTCTCGCGAACACAGTCAACCTTGGTTTGGGTTCTCGTCGGGACCCATGGCCATATATTTGTTCTTTCCAGAGTTCTAGGTGTTTCGAAATGGGGCCTCCTCTTCGACGAGAGGAGGGGCATCACTACTACTGTTCACTCCCCACGTTGCTGGGGGTGACTCGAGAGGGCGGTCACTAACTACTGAGACTGTGAGTCTGGTATGGGCAACCGCAACATCATCCCTGCATACGCGTATCTGTGTATCGGGTTGTCAGACATAACAGCTTAGTACTACCCTCTCCGAAATCGCAGGTTCCATTCCCGATGAGGTCACTGAATTTTTCAATTGAACTAATCCTTACAGCCGCAATAGGGTCCTGCGGTCGACTCAGCCTCTAACAGAAATGAGTCCAAGAATTCTTCCTACGAGTAAAGGGCGGCCGGCACGTAAGGCTGGGAACCTCGACGTT